CCCCTGATGCACTTGTTTTCTTTAGTGATGAGGCACATTTTCACCTATCCGGATATGTCAACAAGCAGAATATGTGCTATTGGAGTGGTACCAATCCCAGAGAGCTCCATGAGAGGCCACTTCACAGTGATAATGTGACAGTATTGTGTGCGTTGTTGAGAGTTGGAGTTATTGGCCCTTGTGTTTTTGAAGAAGACAATAATGCAGTTACTGTCAATTCACAGCAGTATGTGGACATGATTAAAAACTTTTTCGAACCAGCTCTTGAAGAAATGCATGTAGGAAATGTCTGGTTCCAACAGGATGGTGCCACGGCNGGATGGTTCCTCATCAATATCTCGTATGTCTGGAGGCTCCACTTTGATCTGAAATGATAAATGTTAATATATAACATAAAGTAGATTCACATGTTTCTCCTCTTTACTTTCATGCCTGTAATTTAAAGGGTTGTTGCAGAATGTATACTTTGTTTCATCACTTTGTCTCTTGATTTGAGGATAGTGTTTTATACTCAAGGTCATGTATGATTCAGGTAAATATGAAACATTTCACTGCATGAAACAAGGTTTTAAATAAAGTATATGTAAAAATCATTCATTTAGTTTAACTTCATTAAGATGTAAGTTCAATTCATAACGCATTCACTGCGGGAACACAGGTAGGTCTGGTATATTGTAAAGTTATCAATGTGAACATGATTTACATCACCCACCATCTCTTTTGTCAGCTTATCAGAAGGGAACATATTATGCTGGAATTAAGGTGAACAGTTTACCTGTTACAATAAAGGATTTGTCCCATTATACAAAACAGTTTAAATCAGCCTTGAAAAATATTTTTGCATTTCCATTCATTTTATGCACCAGACAAATATTTTAAATAGAAGATGAATTAAACCTTTTATAATGCTGTTTATACAGTAAAAAGTAAAAAAGTAAAACTATCCCTGTAACAGGCCGTGAGGTCCCATAGGGTTGAGAGATGTTGAGGTTCCCACATTTTCTAAGACAGTGGGCTCACAGATGGCAGTAAGGTTGTCAGCCTTACGTGCTGGCTGCTCTTTACCCCAAGGAATATTCCTAGTACTCATTTCTGTTAGAGGCTGAAGGATTAGGTAAATTGAAAAAATTCATCTCATAGGGATTCGATCCCGCAACCTTCTTGCTTGTAGCATAGTGCCTCAAACAACTATGCTACCATGTGCCCCCCTGTTTATATAGTACATTGTATAAGTTAATTTATTATAAGCTGACATATGTTTATATACTTAAGTTATGATCTCAATGAGGTATTACTGTCAAGCTGATGGTTCTTACAGAATCATGTATAATTATTGTTTTTTATCAATGTAGTTGCAAAGTTTCAAGTTCGGTGTTTAGAACTAATGTATGCATATGTAACATGTTCTATATCTGATGGTTTTGGTAGCCAGAAAGGACCTATGGAATTAAAATAAGGATACTATACTGATACAGATGTAAAGGAGACATTTAAACACAATGAAAACATCAGTAAGTGGTTCCATATGGTTCTATTCACAAGGAAACATAAGAAAATGGTGTAACATACTGTTGCTGGAAGGTCATCATCGTCCATGTAGTCATTCATTGTGACTTGTACAAATGATGGCAATGGCTGTTTGGACCGCAATGGGGAAGATGTATCCCCACTTCCGCCTGCAGCCTGTAGAGCTGCGACTGTTGATGCATTACTTGTGGTTACTGCATCTTCGGAAGCCTTCAACATTATCAATTTTCATATAATTTGTACTTTATGAAGACTGTATATTTGCTCTGATTAGTACTGTCTGTCTTAAATTAAATAATAATAATTAAGTATATATAAAAGGTAAAAAAGGTAAAGCTATCCCTGTGACAGGCCGTGAAGGCCCATAGGGTTGTGAGACGTTGAGGCTCACACATTTTCTTCAGACAATCGGCTCACAGATGGAGGTAAGGTTGTCAGCCTTACGCGCCAGCTGCCCTTTACCCCCGCCAGGAAGATTCCTGATACTCATTTCTGCTAAGAGGCCAAGTTGACACCCAGGACAATAGTGCAGCTGGAAAGATTAGGTAACCTGAAAAAAATCCACCTCATCAGGACTCGAAACTGCGACCTTCCGGCTTGTAGCAGTGCCTCAACCAACTATACTACTGCATGCCACCAAATATATATATACTACATTCACTGGAAGTCAACTGTAATAAGAATTCATAACATGAAAACCCCATACTGTACAAATACTTGGGTATTCTAGAACTTGGGAAACATATGATATTACTCCAAAAATCAAAGAGTGAATATCTGTGTTTATTTCACTTTAAACAGTGAAAGTAACAGAAATTTACATGGGAGTGTATTTTACCTAACTATGTGAGAATCATATTGCAAAATCTAAACTTGATACACAGAAGAGAAACAGTTATCCAGGTTTAACGATAGTGAATATTCCTACTTTAAATACATGAACTTTGTAGCAGAAGTCATCAGTGTCTGTATGATGCCAGCCACCACATATACATGATGACTATGTGGTTCCTCACCAAACTGCAACTGCACTTAGAACTAATCTTCAGACTGGAATCATGTTTCTTCAACACTTTCATAACAACTAGCAATGTCCATGACTGCAGCCACTAGCCCATAGCCATGACATACACAAGCTGGCCAGCTCTCAATGTGTAACTCAAACAAGAGACATTAAAAACATAATTTCATATGTTATTCATACCTCACATGCAAACTGTGAAGTAGTGCCTTCATCAGCATTAGAATCAACAAACTCACTGCTGTACACACAGCCTTTTTGCAGGACTCACTGTGTACTTTCACGGCATTTATAATTCTTTAGTATTATTTACACATCTGTCTGCTACATATAGTGAAGCCCCCATTTTTCATTCTCAGATTTTCCCTCATTTCACGTTCAATTCAATGATCCCACATTAATACTCTTGTTGTTCAAGTACCTCCATGTAAGATTTGTATCCACTTTACCTACACATCCACTGCTCTCAATGCACACCATAAACAGGGAGTTTCACTATAGTGAATCCAGGGGCTTCTCACCCAGGTTACTTCTGAATTTATACATGACACTTACAGGTAAATCTGAAGTTTTTCTGCGCTTTCTACGGAGATGGTGTGGTGTGCCTTGTGAGCTGACATCAGTTTTCTCACCCTGATCATCAGGCTTCTGCTGCTGTGGTTGTTGCTGCAGCTGCTGTTGTGGCTGAGATTGTTGTTGATTCTGCTGATTATCTGCACACTGGATGTCTCCTTTCTCATATTTATTGCGCACATTTGACAGTCCTTTTACCTGCAAAGTCTCAGCTGCTGCCAATAAGCCATCCAGCTCTGTCTCTAACACCTGTAATGTGTAAAAATATTAGGAAAGTACACGTGCAGAATAATTCTGACAAGGTAAATAAGTAACCTGAGCAGTTACACCAAAATGTGTAATCTGAAGGAACATCAAATTTAGTTCGTGTTTATTTCTGGTTGTTCTCACACATGTACACGTATGTCTACACACACACACACACACACACACACAAAAGTGACTTACGCTTTTAAGTCATCTGTAAAGGAAAAATTAAAAATGGTACACATAAAGGTATTCCTGTAATGGGCCACAGAGGCTCATAGGGTTGTGAGACATCAAGGCTCCCTCATTTTCTAGACAATCAGCTCACAGCCTCACATACCAGCCACCCTTTACCCTGTTAGAGGCTGAGTCAACCCCAGGACCATAGTGTGGCTGGAAGGATTAACTCAACTGAAAAAACCAATGACCTCATTGGGAATCAAACCTGCGACCTTCTGGCTCGTAGCAAAGTGCCTCAACCAGCTATGGCTACCATGTACCCCAAAGGAAAAACTAAGTACATGTTAATGTCCCATCACAACAGAGGACAAGGTCATTACATGACAAATTTCAAAAACCCTCTTCATGAAACCAGACATTGTAAGACCCCATTTTCCTTCATTTTAAGTATACGCCTGCTAAGAGGCTAAACCTTCAAAAACAAATGCACAACATATCAAAGATGACTGCAGTAATAAGATCATTTAACACCCATCCCTTTAACCTAAAAGGTAAATGGTAAAGTTATCCCCGTGCTTAACTAATTAAGCACCTTGCCATGAGAGACAGTGGAGTGGAAGCATAGCTCCATATATTCTTAAGTTCAGCACTTGATGAAGGTGACTGATCAGCTTCACACCTGCGTAAAGAGATCCTGGTACCCATTAGACAAAAGGCTGGGTGGGCAAGCAGTCTGGACACTGTGGAGAAGAGAAAAACCTCCTGTCCCTTCTGGGAATTTAATCTCAATTCCTTGGCCATACAGCTCTTCACTATGACAGTTGAGTCAGCACACAGCTTTAACCGAAACTAATCTAATAGTGTTTTTAACAGCTCAGACTGCATCATGCTGAAAGACTGGATATCAGCAAATAATGAATTGGAAAGGATGTGGAAGGTGAGAGTCATGGTTTAGTTTGGTATACTACCCTGGCATTTGATTGGTGGGACCACAGAAAACCACAAAGAACATCAGTTACAGCAGCTGGTATCAGGGCCAAGAACTGAACCCAGGACCTCCTAAATGTGAAGCAGGAATTCTAAGCACTTGACTGAAACCCTTCTAAACATTTATATTTGCACACAATATGATAAGCAATATTCATACCTTAATCTCACCCCTGTACATGAATTCAATGACCAGCTTTATGTCAATAAATTTCATCCCATTCAAGATGACAACAGGATGCTGCACATGATGCTGTTTAAACAACTCCTAAAACACAGTTAAAAATTAAACTCAGTAGGCTGCACAGTAAACACAATGTACCATATCACTAACAAAACTATACAATAAGGATTTTGTACAATTTTCCCTCTTCTCCCTTTACTAAGGAGTACATGCATCAAGATGTGGAAAACAAGAAACAGAGTAGCTGCGACATACATATTTGGACATATTGTTTTAAAAATGGATGCAATTAACATATACCATTATCATATCCCCCCACCAGAAGAAACAGCATCTCAATACAAGTCACATACAACCACACATGTGTAATCAGTTCCATTTGCATCTTAAGATATAAAATTCAATAGATGGTGTACAATCTGCAAAATAATGACATCTACATAAATGGATATCCACATTAATTCCCACTGATTAAACTAAAGAAAAATGTATAATTACAGTTTTCATATTGAATGTGAAGAGGATTGCTCTTGATATCTGTAACACAGTGGAGCCTACAAAAATGGATATCCACATTAATTTGTACTGATTAAACTGAACAAAACAAAAAAATGTAAATATACAGAGTTGATATCAAATGTGTTTAGGGTCATCCTTTATAGAACAAACTTGCCTGGAAATATGGACTGCATGCTGAGAGAATCATCTTGTGTGCCTTGAGAAACTGTCCTTGACAAGACAAAGTCACGTCCACAAGATTTTCACTGTTCAGTTGCTCCATAAACACCTGAAAGATATGAGTATGATAGTAACATGTTCACCAGCCTTCATACNCAACAATATTTCAATCAAATACATAAATGAAAAAGACTAATGACAAATATTTTGCCATACTTTATGTAAAGACTGAATCTGCAAGAGCAGTTTTAAGAGATAAATAGAGAACTGAAAAACGTTATCAATAAACGTGAAAGTTAATATGAAAAAGGTTTCCATATTTAACTCTCTGATACTTCAGTCCAACACCTCGGCACACATAAGCTTGTCAGTGAATGCTGTTCTGAGCAATAAGTTCAACCTACACATTAACGCTCCTAAAACTTCACTTGTATCATGTCAAATGCATTAGAAGATGCTTCAACTTCAAGATTTATAACAGTCAGAATTTATCACTACACAGTAACCAGTGTTGAGGTGTTGAAACTGCGTGTCTATAATCTTTGTTAAAATATCATAAGGCTATGTAAATTGCATCTTCTTATAAGTCAAACAAGAGCCAACAACAAGTCTTCAGCTGAGTCTACCAGTTAATCCCAGCATGAGTCCAGAAAAACGCAGACTGAGCACTTACCTAAGTAAATACTACAGAAACAATTTATGCTTACATGTATGTGTAAGTGACTAGTGTTGGCTTCACACATAAACAAATGAGGTTGCAACTGTGTTGAACAATTACCACAGTGAGTAAATATGGTTCAATTTTCTGTCAACTGTGTATGTAATGTGTATGAAATGTATGTAAAGTGAGGTTTCAGTAGTGTGTGTTGAAGGGTATTTTGCCACAAATTTCCCAAGGTTAAAATTTCAAGCACAACAGCAAATCATACACATATAAAATCAGCCTTACTAGGTCACTTCTAGACACAAAACTTGCTATAAATGTAATGTGCTTATTTGAAGGGAAAGTAGACAAACTGGGGGCTAAACACAAGTCACTGAGAAGACTTGTACAACCTTCTGGTACAAGTCTGGCATTTCGGAATTATCAGCAATAAACGGATAAACTTCAGCTGTGCTAGACAATTGTACTTCATGCTTTAGTCACACAACCTGGCTAGTAAGGTTAAATTCTGTAATTGGATTCTCCAGTTCAGATCATAAAGTTAACACCAATCCCCGTTAAACTATTTTCTGCGATGAGACATAATTTCACAGACATCTTTCCTCTGAAAATAATCAGTAATGAGGTTATGAGAATCTATATTTAAGACATAAATTTCTTCTTCATGATGCAAAAGCTCATGTATGGTACACAATGAACACTAATTATTGGGCATATATTCTATGCACAAACTATTAATTTTGCCAGAGACATCAGACAAATACTGACACAATTCCTCACACACATCATAGAGGAATGATTATATAGGTGACTTCAGCAACACCTGAAACTGTTCATACCACAGACAATACATGATTGCTTCAAAAAGTGTGGCTATAGGAATAAGTTGTGTAAAGTTACAAGCACATGCTTTACGTTTACACCAAGTGACTTTTAATTGTGGTGCAGTTTGAAGAATATAGCATATAAAACATACAGAAGAAAGATTAAACAAGAACATCCAAGAAAATAATTCTACAAATTACTTGCAAAAACCTCACACTGGCACTCATCTGTTTAAATGATACCCATAGTGTGCATACGCAGAAATACTTTACTTTGATCGCCCCCTTATAAATCTGTGTAAGTTGCTTTAATTGCTTTTAAGGAGTGATTCTAGACTCATATCACAATTAACTGAAAGTACATAACTGAAGGTTGGCTGTGACTGACAGGCAGTCACGAGATCAGAGGAGCATTCAACTTTGTAAGATGGCATTCTTCTTATGCCATATCAATTCCCAAGCTAATCTGACTCACAGGCCACTAGAAGAAGCAGTAAGTTTTCCCAGCACTAACACAATACCTGTCTCACACTATACAGTACAAACAACACTGCTATATATCTGATTATCTTTAACATGCATAAACATATTTATTTACAATATAAAATTAATGTTTCCATATGTTATTAAAAGTGAAGAGATATTATCTGCATTTAAGCCTTGCAAATAATGCAACTGAATCTGTAACACATATGTCTTCTCTGCATTTGAAGGATTATAACACAGCTCTGTGTCCCTACTTCTCAGGAGAACTGCAACCTACTTCAAAACTTTGTGTCATCCCCCTGTCATTCAACTGGTTACACCATGAAACGAAACAAACTGAAAGAAGCAGAAATGTACTATATACTATGTACTATATATGAGTTTTGTTTTCCCTGTTGAACACATGCCAAACAACTCGCTCACATTTCACTGTGCATAACTCAGTTTATTGGTTGTATAATGTCGAAACTTGTTTCAGTTCATGGAGCCATCATCAGGTGATATACAGGGTTATTCAAAAAGAATGAACCAATTTTATTATGCAATATTTTATTAAAGGAAAGTAACGCCCAGCCAAGTCACAAGTATTCTACTCATAATCAACTTTTATTTCCTGTCTTACAAGTGCTCAATGTGGTCACCACCTGCAGCACAGGCAACATCAATGCGATAAGAGAATTCCTCCCAGGTGCGTATCAGCATATCACGATGCACTGAGTTAATCGCTGTTGTTATTCGATGTTTAAGGTCATTGAGGTTAGTGGGTAGAGGTGGAACATAAACGTGATCTTTTACATATCCCCACAAGAAGAAATCACACACAGTTAGGTCTGGGGATCTCGCAGGCCAAGCACAAAGAGCAAGGTCTTGGGCCCCCTTCTGACCAATCCATCACAGGGGCACTTTTTCATTTAAAAAAGCTCGGACCATCAGGTGCCAATGAGGCGGTGCTCCATCTTGTTGAAAAATGAAGTCATGCGAATCTGCTAGCAGTGAAGTGAAGAGCCAGTTTTGGAGTATATCGAGATAGGTTTGTCCTGAGACACAGCACAGAAGATGTTCACCTTAGGGGAATCTCTTTCGTGCTCAACTGTTTCATGTGGGTGCTCTGTTCCCCAAATACACACATTGTGACGATTGACTGTGCCGCTCAAGTGAAAAGCCACTAAAAATTAAATGTGAAATGAAGGTTTCGTCTTCCATCATCTCCAGCATTGAATCGCAAAATTCCATCCGCTTCCTTTTGTCGTCATTGGTAAGTGCCTGAACAAGCTGCAGTCTGATGGTTTCAAATGTAGACGTACTGTTAGCACACGCCAGAGAGTGGATTGAGGGATTGCAAGCTCATGGCTAGCTCGATTTGTTGACTTCCACGTGCTCCTCTCAAACGCAGCAGGGATTTTTGCCACTTGTTCCTCCGAAACCCGTGGTCGTCCTGGACTTTTTCCTTTACACAGACACCCACTCTCTTGAAACTGTCGAAACCACCGTCGAATGTTCTTAGGACAGGGCAGATTAATGCCAAATCGCCTTCGAAAAGCACGCTGCACCTTGACAACTGAATTTGTTTTCGCGAACTCGAGAACGCAGAACGCCTTTTGCTGAGGACTCACCATTCAGAGGGTAAACGAACAACTGAACGTTGCCAGAAGAACGACATGACTTCAGCGCCCCTGTGGCAGCCATTCACAACTTAGATAACTCCTCTTTCAAATGGTCACTGACTCATTCCATGACGATGTTTGAGAACTGAAGCAATGTCATGAAATCGGTTCACTCTTTTTGAATAACCCTGTATTAATCAACCTTATACTAGTGAATTATGCCTCCTATATGGATCCATATATTGTACTTATCATTGTGTGTTACAATAAACCAAAAGATATGGTGTTCTTCTTTCCCTCTCATTAATTACCTTTATATGCACAGGATAAGTGGTTGTTTTTTCACACTACTTTAAAAATGTATTAAACAAGTACTTAAAACTTATTAAGAGTCTTAAATATTAAAAATATATTTGTATATTAAAAAATATGTTAATAGGTGCAAATATTATTAAAATAGAGCCCATGGAAATATCATATTCTAAATATTCTGAGTGATTTATTCCCCCTTAGTTTGACTAAAATTAAAATTATGTACAGATTTCCTTTGTTGGTCATGCTGGGCTTTCCACTGTCAATGTGACTGCATTTTGGCTTATAGTTATTGTCTCGATCCTGAATGTTGTATATGCAATACAACTGCCATTGCTTATGCCGCCTATCATGCATCCCTTAAAGATTAAAAAAGCAGAAATATAGTAATGCTCAACCTCAAACAATGTAGCCACTAAATGGATACAAAAATTAAAAATCAATAGGTGAAGTTTGTTATTTGCAGACTGGCAAAAGGCCATGGTCCAGCAGAAATCCCAGGAAACAGTGCTACAGCATACTGCCATTACATCGTATAGTAACACAAAAGATCCATTACCTACTCTGAATCTGGACCACATATCCAGTACAATCCCCTTTAACAGCATTAAGTTCAATCCATTATTTATCACTCGAAGTACAGACTATGTCCAAAAATTTTGAACATTATATCAAATGCATTGCATGCAACTTCACAACTTTCCAAACTAACATTTTATTCAACTAGATACATAAATTTACCTAGACTAACTTGCAAGTTACATATGCCTAACATCATTATTCAAATACAACCATCTGCCAAAGCAAGAAAAGAAAGTATATCACTGTATTCCATTTCTAGTCTTCACCAGCTTTTCCGAAAAATTAACCTGCCTGTGTATAAAAAACTCACTTAAAACTGTATACATAAACGAAGTACCTGAAGAATGTTGTTTGTATGGTTATTCCATCGCAAATTAAACTGCTGACCACTTGCCATTGTAACAAGAGGAACACTTCCAAAGAAATATCTGAAACAAGTACAAACACTGCAGTAAAATTAATATGCATGCAGAACAGATTACTTTATTTTGAACTGATGTCAGTCTATTGTCTTTGCTACTTGAACTATATGAGTATTTTTTCTAATAACTAGGCAGTTCACTATTACTTGCTGGAAAAACAGACAAGACTGTTCAGAGAATTATAACTCACAATGGCATTATTCCAATAAAGTGTGTTGCACTGTACAATTTGATGTATGGATGCAGGATTAGGAATTATAAAACAGTAATTCATTCATTCTGTTTAAGATTAAGTATACGAACTGTCACTTGTATACGACTGTGGTACAATTCGCAAATTAGAAGTAATAAATCAAATGAAACATATACCCTCGGAACGAAGTCTGCTAGATACAAACTGCTGACAAGGCGAACATGTATTAAAATTAAAACGTGTCTGCCACACGCACGCACCAACCTAACCTCCATTTCGACTTCAACATTGTGTCTGATCTTCGGCCACAAATGCCAAATACTTCTAGTGAACAATGAAAATCGTTTCCTCGTCGCCGACAACAAGCTAGGTTAGGAAACACATTATTGCCATTTCGTTTTGCTTACGTAAAAGTGCAAACACTAGATTTTCGGCACTTCGTAAACATACCCTATACACATATGATTGTAATTACATGCCATCACACACTATTCTTGACGTAAATAGATACACTTCATAACCTCTAAATGAAATGATATAAAGATCAATAGGCCTGGAACATTAGGCGTGACCAGCCGTTCCAACCATGCGCCATGTTTTATTAAACAATAAGCTTAGTGTTGCAGAATTTTTAACAATAGCATTTTTCCACCCGGTAGAATAATTATTTACGAAATAATACGCGCAACCGCAATTGAATAATCATATCTGATGTACCTTTATATCAGCAAATATCTTCTAAATTACCACAATTCCAAACTTTACAGCTTTGCGTACCTTAGCAGAGACTATTTGTTGATGAATTCCCACTGTAACAATCGCTGCATAGAGCCCCATCTGTGAATATAGTGGGAAACTAAGGAAAGTCACCTCCAAAATCACGTAATTTTTCTGTGTAAACGTTTTAAACAAACAAACGTTCTAAACCGATAAACACAAATCAGTAGACTATGATATAATTCATCTAAATAAAATTATATCACGAAATGGTGAAGCTCTGCCATCATTTTAAGCTAGTACAAGTCCTCATGTGTATATCACGAGGTTAGTAAAGTTGTCTGCTGCAGTCTGCTCCTACTACTAATTTTTCTCTGAATCAGATTAATTAAAAAAAAAAGTAATAACAATCTGGGAATAAGAACTGTAGTGTGAGTTTAAAAAGTTTCCGCTAACTGAAAAGGTGGCAACTTATAGGTCAAACGAAAATAAGCAACACCAGCTTGCTGGCACACATATTTAAACTTCAAAGTTTCTCGGAATATTATTACTAGCGCATATGCCCATATGCACAACATTGACTGTGCTATAGGTTAGCCTGTGATGCTGAAAAATTGCAGAAGGAATGGCATAGCCCCCAAGCAGGGCATTTTCCAAGGAGGTAGCCAGAAAAATTGCTTACAAGCTTACGCTGAAGCAGTTTATGTGTTCAGAATAGATGTATATTTTTCTTTGAGTAATTTTAAATTTTGGTATTAATATATAGTATATATATCCTTTGGGGGGGGGTGATTTTTCCATCCCAGAGGGGAGAAGATTTCATAAAGAGTACAATTTTTCTATTGTCCGGATCCGCAGTATGATAATTAGGCTACGCCTGACAGTTGTTTCATAGCTAGGCTAGATCAAGGCATTTCAAGGAACTGCATCATTTCGTTTCATTGGACAGCTCAAATGGCATGAAAACACACACCTTACACGTGTCATATCCTTCTTTCAAAATCTCCACGGAACGTCTATGTGTGTGTGTGTGTGTGTGTGTGTGTTTTTTTTAGTTTATCTAAAGATGCTGTCAGTTTCTTGGGTAGAAGGAAGATTTTTGCTTTCTTGACCGGTTCCACGGCTCTGCTCATCACAGCGGCCAGTGCACTGCCTGTTGCGAGGCGTATGCTAATTTTGCCGATAAATCAGCACGCTTGACGACTGATAACGTTTGAAATGTACTTGTTACATTTCACAGTTCATAGGAGGTGCTGAAAATGCTGTCCCCCTACACGTAAATATCTTTCTCAATTAATTATTTCGTTAAGTAACACAGGTACAACAATCTTTCTTGCACTTACGACTACAGCACACCAGACACCAACTGCCACTGGATGGGACGGGACTTCGTGGGTTAGATGTGGATTCTATGTACTCCAGAACCACGCTTCACCAGAAAAAAAAAATGTTAATTGCTCATCGATCTCACCTTCGAAGACGGACTGTAGAAACCAATTGCAAGAATGAAATCTGTTAGCTGGATCGCGCGGCTTTAAAACGTGGGTGGAGTACTGTTGTTTCATTTGGTCTAAGCTTCAGCCAATTGTGTTGTCGTTCTTGCACTAGACTTTGACGACTTTGACACTCCAGTCTCTTGAGCTAGACGTTTCAGTGATTTTCTAGGAGTAAGTTCAATTCTGGTCTCTATGTAATCTATAGTATCTTCTCCTCAGTAACCAATCGGCGCTTATGTTTTTGTTTCTCGTCTATTAAGAGCACCGTTGTTCTAGGTTTATTCACCAAATTGTGAATTGTTTCTTTTCTGGGAACTCTTTCATCACGAAAATTATGTCGCAATTTTCGCCTGCAATTTCTAACAGAAACTGTTTCACATACGTGTCATACAGTAACACAAGTTGCTCTAAAGCATACGGCACTATGACGTACCACACTGCTCACTAATTGTAACTGCGAACAAATGGCTAATTGAGCTGATAACTGCTGTCTACTGCTGAAAAACCATGAACAGATTCCCACACATGAACAACACTGCTCGCCGTGAAACATAATACCGTCAAGCGATTCAGAAGTTAATTACTTCCATTTATTCCAAAAGATATCGGCCATCAGGCAAAATTCATATGCACCTCGCGCCGGTCGCCATGAACTGGCAAAAAAAAAAAAAAAAAACTCTGTATAACGCCGAATGATAGAAAACTGATGAATCGCACCGCATCTCTAAATCGGAATTCGTGGCCCAACTTGAGGTACTATTCCGACATTTGCCTGGAGGCACTGAGGTAAACAGCTGTCACGTGTTAAGTGATTAGACACGGATTTAATGAACACATAAAAGAGATCGTCCTACAAGTAACTATAGTGCTAACGCCAAATCAAACACTCTACAGTTCACTACAGCACACACTAAGACTTATCAGTCTGCTGTCTTTACTGGCTGTCGCCTGGCATCAGCTCACTACGTCGTAGACTCCTCAGCTTCCCGTGTTCCACGGCTCCGGTTCTCGTCGACTGGTGCCTACCTCACGACTAACTGGCAGCAAATCGTCCCTGTTGCATAGCATCGGGACGGACAGAACAGAAGACAATTTCTCCTGTTCTTGCGTGACGTCAATGCTGTCGCGAAAAGGTGCTTATTGCACCGACTAGCAACATGTGACGTTTTTGGTCACGCAGGGGTGACGTGTTCAATTGTTGCGCGGCCGAGGTCACGTGACGTCCATTGCGCCACTGCCTAGCCAACTGATGTGTTCGCAGAGTTGTTCCAAAAATATGCTGAAGGCCACTTCAGAACGTGGGTGGAAATGGCTTTTCACTCCTAGGTTGACGCTTCAAGAACAGCTAAAAATCCCTGGGAAAATGACAAACATCATTTTGTAAAGGAAATTACAAAAGTGCAGGTTCGGGAATTCGTTCCTATATGAATCTGTGTTAGAAATACTACCTATATCTGAAGGCACCGAAAATAGCTTCATTAAGAAATCGTTCTGTAATGAAGTCGGCGGTATTTACTCGTCTCTACGCCCATTTCCCGTCCTACTAAAGCGGCGTTACTCACAGTTAGGTGACTTCATTGGAATGGCTGTTACATTTGCAATATAATAAATAAAAACTGTAGAAATGGGCAGCGTTTGGTTTGTCTGTAAACGTCAGTGAAGTGTCAGTGTCTTTATTTCGCTGAGAATTATCCAGAAGTTATTTCGTATATATAACTCACTCACTCATGGAGCTGAGCCCTTCTTGAGAAGCTGCCGATTGTGCAGCTACTCAACTTCCCAGCATTTTCTGGAACCCAAAGGTTCATTACCGTGTTCACAAGAACCCTCCCACTGGTCCCTATCCTGAGCCAGATCAATCCAATCCATTCGAGATCCATTTTAATATTGTTCACCGCCTATATCTTGGTCTTCCCAGTGGTCTCTTTCCTTCTGTCTTCCCCACCTATATCCTATATGAATTCTTCTCCTCCTCCTCCTAGACCCCGCACCCCATTCGTGGTACATGCCCTGCCCATCCCATCCCCGACTTGATCATTCTGATTATACTACGTTCTTCCCTTAATGTCAGAGACCAAGTTTCACATCCATACAGAACCACAGGAAAAATTACAGTTTTTATATTCTAATTTTTGTTTTTAGACATCAGGCAAGAAGACAAAAGGTTCTGGACTGAATGGTAGCAAGCGTTACCCGAGTTCAATCTTCTCTTAACTTCCTCCTGAATCAGATTTCGTAAATATACCTTAATTATAATTTTTAAATTCAAAAATTTGCCTAACTTATCGACCTGTTCACGGAAGATATCATTTCTACAAAAAATGTAATTTCGTGGCTTCAGGTCAGTCTTTATAGATGAAAAGCTGTACACCTGTATGGATGGAACACTTCCACATAGGAATTTGTTTTTTAATGGGCTGTATCAATACCAAGCAATAAACTTATGCAGCACTGATGGAAAATGTAGGATGATATGAAGTGTGGCACCATGAATCTCAAATGAGTCTTTTGGGATCGAATCTGTGCCTCCACAGTGAGAAGCCAGCATCCAGCCATCTGAGATATGGCATTGCCTCATATTTGGCTGTAAAAAGGTAAAGGTAAAGTTTTCCCTGTGCTTAATTAAGCTCCACAACATGAAAATGTATGTCAGATTGGATGTATGACCTACCACTCCTGACCTCTGCACTAGATAGAGGTGTGCTTAGCTTCACGCCCTGGCCGCTTTTTCAACCCTACAGAAATCCGAAATGGCAGCTCATTCAAAGTGAATACATAAACAAAATTTTCATTTGGTTTACTTGTATATACTGCACATATAAAAATGTATACATCACATATATTAATATGTAAAACATGCATATACATACAGATAATGACAGTTACATTATTCCTAGTAGAAGCATAGGAAAACCACAACACGAACACTTGCTTCTAGCAGAAACAAGTTTAAGTGCGAAAAAGGAGTCACGCCCTCTCCAATTCTGTGGCAGAATAAATGAAAATATTTCTGATATACAAAATCACCAAAGTATCTATATTTTCACAGTAAACACAGCAGCATTAGAATGGCTAATATAGGGGTAAAATGTTTTTATTTGGCACACTTGTTGAAGAAAATCACACATTAAGGAATGTTCTCCTATGGAATATATAATGGGCGTTCAAATGAAACCTGTTTGCAGCATTTCTAACAGGCCACAAGTGATCATGTTGCTGTATGTACTCCCCAGGGAGTTCCTGGTGGGATGATCCAATGGCTGGTGCATCAATGGAATGCCTGCCACAGTGCTCAAAGGGACTACTTATAATTGCCTCTACTAT